GAATCGCTTTGCTCCGGATTCCCGACTGCAGTACTTGGCAGCTGTTATTAAGAGCCTCACATCCTTTCCTCACGTCTTCCCACAACTCAGTTCTTTTTCTCATTGTTCTCTGCATTTCAACCCATGCACTTCATCATTCTTACATCTGAGGCATCGGCACAGAAGAGGGCATTCTAGGTGCAGGTCAGCAGAAGTGTCCTGAAATGGAGCGTAATGTTCCTGCTTCATGACATTATGTTCATATTGTAGTTCAAAAGTGTATTAGTTTCCTTTTGGCTCAAGTCTTCAGACAAACAAATATGTACATTATTTGGCCTCCAATAAAATCACGACTTTTAGAACTTTGCCAGTATATCTTAACATATTAAAATTTACATACTCTCAAATAATGACATGAATTATTTATTGTTCCAGGCATTTGAAATCATATAGGTTAGCAAGGAAAATATTTTGTATATTAAGTATATGACATATTGTTATATACTAAATCAAGAGTATTATTGTTGCTGTTGGAAAAATGCTATATATGATGAGTGTATTAAACAGGGTAAATGCACATAAATTTTTCCTTTTTCTTCCACAGTATAGACCTCCCTTTGAAGACTGGCAACCTGGCAAGGGAGATTATTTTCCAAACTCTTGAAAACATGTGAGGACTCATAATCTGTTACATCAATAGAACTTGAAGAGAATTGAAGAATATCACTTCTGTGCCAGGGAGCCTAACGGAAGAGGTTAGGCTCTTCCGTTAGGCTCCACCCTCTTTCCTCATCCAACAGCTGTATGGAAGGATACCAAGGCTTTAGGAGAAGGCAAAATCCCATGATGGGAGAGGCCTGAGCACCTCACAGTGTGTGGAAACCAAGTCCTCACCAGGAACACATGCAGTAGGCCTATGTGTGCAAGGCATTCATCTCCATTGTTGGAGCTGACCTTTTGGGTTATTTTGTAACGGCAGTTAAAATTACCTTGTTAACACAACAGAACACTGTCAAAGGAATGCTCTATGGTGCCAACCCACTATTGCCTTGAAACAGAGATTACTTCACATATTGGTCAAAAGTCTCCAGAGAAACAGCAGCAATAGGATAGAAGTGATTTTCATAGATAGATAGATAGATAGATAGATAGATAGATAGATAGATAGATAGACAGATAAATAGATAGACAACTAGACACAGACAGACAGACAGACAGAGATATAAATAGATAGACAACTAGACACACCAATAGATAGACAGAGATAGATAGATAGTTAGACAACTAGATACAGACAGACAGATAGAGATGGTGGATGGATAGATAAATAGATATATATATATATATAGATCTAGATAGAGATAGATAGAGATAGATATAGAGAGATAGATGGACAGATAGACAAATAGACACAGATAGATAGACAAATAGATAAATAGATTGATAGATATAGATGGACAGATAGACAAATAGACATAGAGAAAGATAGATAGATAGATAGATAGATAGATAGATAGAGATAGACAGATAGACAAATAGACATAGAAAGACATAGAAAGATAGATAGATAGACAAATAGACATAGAAAGATAGAGAGAGAGACAGAGAGAGAGAGAGAGAGAGAGAGAGAGATAGATAGATAGATATTTTAAGGATCGGATTGGCTTATGTAGCTATGGGGCTGGCAAGTTCCACATCTGTAAGGTAACCTGACATCTGGAAACTCAGCAGGATTTCTGTGGTAAGATCTGGAGGCAGAAATCCTTCTTCGAAAGCCTCAGTTTTTGCTCTTAAGGTCTTTGATGGGTTAAATGAAGCTCATCTGCATTATCAAGGATGATTTTTATTTTACTTAAAGTCAATTGATTGTAACACTTATAAAATACTTTCAGAGCAGCATTTGGATTAGTGTTTGACCAAAGAACTTGACACCATAACCTGGACAAGTTGACACATGAAATTAACCATCTCACCCCCTCCGCCACCAGCTCACACAGAGGGCCAACTCCATCCTTACCTTTGATCATGTAGGAATGGGCACCTGACCCTGGGAAAATCCAGCTGGGGCCGGTGATGTACATCTTGTGACCTAAAAGGAAAAATATACGTTTTACCCAAAGTATTTTTTGCAGTAATTTTCAACTGGGAAATATGAAAGCTGCGTAAACAAACAGGAAGGCAAAAGGCAGAAGCCTGTGTAACTTTAAGGCAGGACCAAGACAATCAAACTTATGTACCAATCGGCATTATGAGGAAGCAGCAAATAGAAGGTGTTCAACTACCGAAAAGAGCCTGGCTTCAGAAAGCATCAGAGATGACATAAGGTAAAAATGGAGACACCAGGAAGAAGGATGATGATGCTGTCTCAATGCTAATTGCAGCTTCCATGAAATCTATCATAACTGAAGCTTCATTTTCAAATAACCTGTATATCCTGAAAGCAACTGCTAGTGCCCAACTAGTGATGGCTTGGGTATCTGCTTTTCTTTTAAACAAAAAGTGCTAACTAAGAGAAGCCAATAGGAAAGCTTTGCTAGATTAAGTGTTGTTTAATCTCAAGTTTGAGAAATAAATGGGTGCAGTAAACAGAGGCAAAAGTTCAAACACATTGTGCATTCTCCTCCCATTCCAGTCTGTGCTCCACGTCGCAAGGAAAAAAGGAGAGAAGGTCCAAAAAAGAATTCTAAGGATGGTATAATTTATGCTGTCAGCAACAGGAAGTCACAATACTCTGTTGACACTGATTAATCCTGAGTGAGTACAGTGTAGAGGTCATTCAGTTTTCACTTAAAAAAAATTATTTATTTATTTGTTTATTTTATTTATTTATTTATTTATTTATTTTGAGAAGACTTTTGCTCTTGTCACCCAGGCTGGATTGCAATGGCAAAACCTTGGCTCACTGCAACCTCTACCTCCTGGGTTCAAGCGATTCTCCTGCCTCAGCCTCCTGAGTAGCTGGGATTACAGGCACCCCCACCATGCCCAGCTAATTTTTTGTATTTTTAATAGTGACGGGGTTTCACCACATTGTCCAGGCTGGTCTCAAACTCCTAACCTCAAGTGATTCACCCGCCTTGGCCTCCCAAAGTGCTGGTATTACAGGCGACCCACTGTGCCTGGCTCAGTTTTCACTTTTAAAAAAAATTGTCATTGGATTTTCTGTGAAGTAAGCATGTATTTTTTAAGTAAATACAATCAAAACAAAAATTATGTACTTATCTTTGTAAAATATGATACAAAGGTAAAAAGCAAAAAAGTCGAATGGTAAAAATGTAAGCAATACCTTTAGAATTAATGAATGTAGATTCAAAGCAACCAAAATGTCAGACTGGATTTGCTTAAGATCCTTCTGGAATGTGTGGCTAGATTGTGGGGGTGTAGAGATGCACACAAGCCAAAGCATGAGTTAGAGTTGGCACCACAGTCTAGGCTGACGCAAGGCCATGGAGAGCCAGTCTGCGTTTAGGGCTGGTGCGGACGATGACAGATACAAAGCATGTCAGGTAGGCTTCATGATGCTTTCCATCAGCTACAGTGTGGGAGGAATGACAAAGGAAAGCTAAACATGGCTTCCAAGTTCCTGACTTCAGCAATTAAGCCGATATTAATTATTTCTCTCAGAACATAAATGCAAATATGTTATGGATAGCCTACTTTAAAAGAAAAGGCAATAGGGTTGTTTTGAATTGAACAAACACATATAAATTCTCAAGTAATTAGGAATAAGAACTGGAATTACAAACGTTTTTAAAACGTTTTAAAAGATTAAGAGAGTTGCCCTCAACGGTGCTCTAAAATTTTGTTTACGAGAGAGCATATTTGGGGGTTTATGGTTGTAATATGAAGAGGGAAGAGAGAATACCACAAGCTGCTCCTTGCTTACTTTTTATTCTTTTCGACAATTCCAGGGAATTACTGGATATTGAGTTGCCTGGATACTACCATGTGAAACGCAGACCTGCCATGACCCCCATTTAAGTAGTGGAAGTTGGAGAACTGCACCTCTGGAGTTGGCTGAACTTCAAATCAAACTGCCTGAAACCAGAACTCTAGTGCTGACTAGTTACGTATGTTCTGCTTGCTAGTGTCTTGATTGGAACACACTCCATTTTAAGTCATCTACATTTAACATAAATATTTAATCAAAGTTGTCAAGTGTGCTTTGAAGTATCAGGTAACAGTCATTTTTCAACTCAGGTGTCTAGACTAATCAAACTTTAAGAAAGAGTGCAACATTTGTAATGACATCATCATTTTATTGAATCATTCTAGTTAAATTTGATTTCAGTGCAAAAATCACAACATTTGCTTTTCTCTGATAGAAATGCAGCTCAGAACTACAATTTTCATTTTGATTGAAGGGTATACAGCTTGTGGTGTTTTGGGCTCCACATGAAATTCAAAACTATGTGACTCTCATTCAGACCCACATTCCATGACCCTTCCTCTAAATTGAGAAAGGAAAGGGGAAACTTTTTTGACATCAATTCTCTACCTCCCCACTTCTGTCAGGCTAAATTTCTGCTTTGCTGAAAGAGGTAAATCTTTTGCTAAAGCTGTTGAACTGCACAGATAATATCTCCAAAATATTATTCTCAAAATATCAAGAGAATGATGTTATTGGAGGTTATATTATCCTTCACTGACTTCCAGAGTTGAGGTGAAGATTAAGTTAGACGGTATACATGGATGCTATTGATGGAATCACTGTTAGAAAAAAAGAAACTATAAAAATGTTCAACTTCCATTACAACGTTATTGAAAAGAGCATATGTTTGTTTGTTCCAGTAACTTTTCTAAAATTCTTTAAAGAACATATTTGATTATATTGAGATATATACTTTTTGTTATTGCCTGACTCATGAAAGAGGTACCTTTGGACATTTTAAAAGTATACGAGTTTACAGTACTAACAGATTGTTAAAACTGAGTTGCTTTGGTTTGGAGCAGAATTATTATTAAATAGTGGTAAAAATGAAAATCAAAAGAATGTTTTCAAACCCAAGTAGAGAACGTTTGGTGTAATTTTCCAGCAATAAGTCCCAGGAGAAAGCCTTGCCCAAGATTTAGCCAATGGGGCAATTGCTCACTCAAGGCCTTGGTTTTTTTCTAGCCCAAGTGTATTTCTGTGACCAGCGCACAGGGTAGTGTGACAGGAGGCAGCCAGCCAGATAAAGCTATGGTGGTAAAGTAATGACATCAGGTTCAGAGAAGGAAAACTGCATATACTCATATGGAACAACCAGTAAATAGATCAGATCCCAAACAGCATTATTCACAAGCCACAGACAGAGATCGTGCTCAGCAGTGGGCCGCATGTTCTACCCTGCCAGGTACAGGCATTCCTGCTCAGTCAATTGAGGTTGGATGTTTTCCATCAGAGGGGAGTGTGGCCCTCAGGTCCCCAGGAAGTCGTATGAAATCAACAACAGAAAACAGAACGTAGGCTGGTGGCATCTGTGAGTTCTAATGTGCAAAACTCTAAAATCCAAATGTCTGAAAGTCCAGAATTGTCTGTGTAAGTTTGAGGCAAAGCTGAAGAGGAGATCGAATGACTAAGAGTGGGTAAGCTGGTGTCACTAGGTCAGGAACCGAAGATGACATGGCAGTGAAGATGTGTCCTGCAGGGCTGGGGCTGGACAGATGTGGAGAGGAGGAGTCGCAAGGCTGGAAATGCATGCAGCCAGAAGCTTAGGTTTCAAAAGGCAACATATTTTAAGATGTGGTATAATTTTGTTGGCCAGTTTTAAGCTGTTTTCTCTAAATTGTGTAAGCTTCGGCAGATCCCCTAAACCTAGAGACAGCCCTGAGTACATGTGTCTGGAGAGGATTGAGTGTTTGCGGGATGAGAATAAAGCAACTCACATCAGACTGTAGCCTCTTAAGGGCAAGGTATCCCACTAGTGCCTGTAAACAGCTGGCTTCTACAGAGACATGATGTGGACATTGACTTTATCTGTAATGTATTCTGTAATTTAAGTTAATATTTACCATTTTTATCAACCTTGGCTTGAGGACTTTAGGCTACAGTGAAATGGCAGATTTAAAATAATGTACAATACTGGGCAATTTAGATGAAACATTTTATTTTCCATATTAAATTTAAAGGACAAGTTGACTCTCCCTTATCCAAAATGCTTAAGACCAGAAGAAGTATTTTGAATTTTGGATTTTTTTTTTTATATTGGAGTATTTGTATTATCCTTCCTGATTGGGCATTCTGAATCCAAAAATCCAAAATTTGAATTGTTCCAATGAGTATTTTTTTTTTTTTGAGAGCCTTCTTGTCAGTACTCAGAAAGTTAGAATTTTGTACCATTTCGGACTTGGGGTTTTTGGATTTGGACTATTCAACCTGTACCAATTTTGTACCTGCTACTATCCTACAATCTCATGTCTCCTCCTCCGTTGTGTGGCCAGCAGACTGTGAGTAAAAAATCCATGGGGTATTTCTGTGTTCATGCATTTGTGGGATGATTCATCCCTAAAAGACAGCTCAAGGCCTCTTCAAGAATCCTCCAACTTTCTCATTTCCTGAAGTTCTATATATTTTCATTTGCTACTGAAAAAGCAAACTAAATTTTATGATTTGCTGTTCATTGAAGAGTGTATTTTTCTCTGGAACATTGTCATATGAGTGTGTGTGTATGCATGGATGTGCATAGTTTACATGGGTATGCATAGTTTACACTGTACAATTTGTTTGTTGACTTATGTTAGTGTATTTCTGTTTTAATAGTTCCATGGAACAGAGGTCTTAATTATATCAGGCTGATTCATACATTTGACATTTTGTATTTTACACAAACTTAGTGGTAATGGTGATCTATTTTTTCTTAATTTTAGGTCACTGAAAATTAGATTTGATTTTTGTAGTTCAGAGAGTAACTCCTTTATCAAGTTTGATGTAAGGTGTTTCTTGATATCAAACAAAAATTATTAATATTGACCTTACATGTTTAGAGAATTGGGTTTTGGAATTTAATAAATATTTTCAAAAATCATAGGTAGACTTTACCAAGTATGTATATACACAGCCCTATATGATTTTGTTATTGATGCACTTTCTGAATGGTTTATTCCCAT